GGGGGGGGGCTTCAAGTTGTGGCTGCACGATATCGAAGAGGAAGAAGGTGCCCTCCCAGCGCACATCTACACATGTTTGGCCGGGATTGGTCGCAATACAAACATGGACCGACAACAAGCAACGCAAAACAACATACTTCTACCATTTACTATCGACAATGATGACAGCCCCTCCTCTGCGTGTGTTTGTGTGTGTTTTATGATCGGGTCGGGTCGGGTCGTTTCGAAAAAGAACGACCTTCGATCGGCCATCGTGAAGGAGGCGTGTGTACTGCTCGAGAAGCTATCCGACGCGGCCGGTAACTACATGGCCGCCCTCATGAGGGACATGCTCAACGTCCTCCTGCAGCTCTTGGCGAACGGCAACTCGGTGAGACTGAAACGCTGACACGGGGAGACAGTAGTTGGACAATTCGACAGTGGGTGAGACAGTGAGACACCCGGGNGGGGGGGGGGGGGGGGGGGGGGGGGGGGGGGGGGGGGGGGGGGGGAAGCCAGACGAGGAAGGGTGTGTCGGCCGTAAGGGAGACAGAAAGAAACCAACAACAAGAACCGCGAGACACCCACAGGTGGGGAAGACAGACGGGGGGACGAGAGGAGAGGAAGAGATCGAGAGGGGATCGTGAGAGAGAGAGAGAGAGAGAGAGAGAGAGAGAGAGAGCGAGAGAGAAACAGGGCAGAATTTATCGGCGGCAGCGAGTGATGCTGGCGACGCGGTACCGAGAGAGACGCCATGTGACACCGCCACACACGTGTTTCGTTGCAGATCGTGCTTAACTATTCCAGACGGGCGCGCTGCTACAGTACGTGCTCCGCACCTGACCATCCGCGTGCGCGCCCGTTCACGCTTCCGTGTGCACCCCCCCACCCCACCTCCAAACGATCAGGTGATCGTTGGGCAGGTGGACTCGTGCATGCGGCACATCATCGAGCATTCCCGTTTTCCCCGGCAGCTTAAGGAGGTGATTGAAGTGCTGTACCCGGTCTAGATGACGAACAGTGGGAGGTTGTCATGGCGTGCATGTTAGGCGACCACGATGCGCCTTTCTTGGATGAGCCGCATCATCTGTGCTGTTGTGGCAAAGGCGGCTCGCGGAAGTGTCACAAGCAGAAACTGAAACCTTATTCAAGCCATTGGATTATTTAGTCAGCGTTGACTAGTGTAATGGTTTGATTTCGGCTTGTTTAGCCGCCGCCGACCTTTCAGCTTGCCGGTTATGCTGTGCAAGCAACAGCAGAGGCCCTCTAGACATTCAGGAGGGCATTCTACCGCCGCGTTGGGGGTTATGGAGGCGGGGCTCGCTTGGCTCCCTGACGGCCCATCATCTATTGCATTGCGGAAGTGTTTTTTTTGTGTGCTCCTTACCTTCTCCTCTATCTGATCGCTCCCCTTTTGGTTGATGGGGTAGATCTTAACGCTGTTTTTGTTGTCATCACTTGTTTACTGTGCATGTCCCTTCGGACTTGTATGGGTCATCGAGTGACAGGATATTCCGATTTTAATTTTTATGCTTTCTTCTGACAAGTCCCAACAAATTTATGGGGTGTCTGTTTGTTGTTGATAACGTCAACCCTCACGTATCTATGATTTGCTCATTAAATTCTCAATCCTCAGGTGGAGTACACCGTGAGGAACAGCCGGTCGAAAGACCTCAGGGAGTCGGTGGGGGCGTACGTGCTTCTTATGCTCCGTGCGTGGCCCCCCGCGTCGATGGACAAGGAAGCAGGGCACCTGGAGTCCATTATCGCGGTGAGAGAGGGTCGAGGGGTGTGTGTGTGGCCGTATGTAGCCATGCATGCCGTAGTCGTTGGAGTGTTGACCTTGCATCCCTACGAAGCACGCCGGGTTTTCACCGGACCAGGCTATCACATCACCAAGCGCGAAGTGCCGCGAGGTATTCGGCGAGTCGCATGGATGGTGCGCTGCATCCTGCTATTAGTAAGGGTATTCGGCATCGTGCGCTTGCTTCCTTGCGCGGAGGCAGGGGGGTCGCACGCGTCTATTTCGCTTGCCTTGTGTCATTTACTTTCCGCTCTCGCAAACGCCGGAGTCACGTATGCTTGCGATCAAGACGTGGCAGAGTTGTCTGCCTACAGCAGTTTCACAAGAGTATGGACGTGTACGAGAGCTGCCAAGACCACACGAAAGAATGGCTTGCTGGAACCACGCATCCTCTAACCAATAACCAACACGGTAGCGGGAAGGAAAGCTTGTTTCTTACCGCTGGTACACAGCTTTGGCTGCCGTGCAGTCCATCATGAAAACACGCTGTACACAGAGTACCTCCATTGACTTATCTAACTGTGTTTGTTTCTTGTTTTACATCGTCCGCGTTCAGACTCTACACGTACACTTGCTGTGTGGGTGCGTGCCGTGTGCTTTGTGCCCGCGTTGGGTACTGCTGCGTGCGTGCATGCTGTGACCTTCACCCTAAGCCAGTTGTTGCTAGGGTAGGCGCGGAGCACTTATTTCTAGCGTCGACCGCGCTCAGCCTCTACACTTACACGTGCTGTGTGCTTGCGTGCTGTGTGCTACGTGCCCGCGGGGGATTTACGTGACCTTACCCCCAGCACAGTTGCTCAGCCTCTACACCTGCACTTGCTGTGTGCGTGCGTGCTGAGACCTTGACCCCAACCCAGCTGGTGCTCAGATACGCGTCGAGCGTTCATTACCAGCATCAACCGCGGCGCTCAGCCTCTACACTTACACGTACTGCTTGCGTGCGTGCTGTATGTTACATGCCCGCGGGGGAATTACGTGACCTTAACCCCAACACAGTTGCTCAGCCTCTACCCTTGCCCTTGCTGTGTGCGTACGTGCTGTGGCCTTGACCCGATCCCATCCCAGTTGTTGCTGAGAGACGCGTCGAGTGCGGCGAGGACTGACGCTCGTTCCTCGTTCGGGATGTTGATGGAGCACTGGCCAAAGAGGGCCGACAAGGTCTTGCAGGTGGGTATGTAACGTACGTGTCTGGTGTGTGGAGGTGTCTAAATAGGTGTCTAAATAGGTGTACGGTATAAAGGGTTGAAGCTCGTCCTGCTAGGGTGTTGCGATTATTGGCAAGCACTGGCTGTTTGCGTTTGGGGAAACCGTATGGCCACATGCCGATGTTCGCTTGTACAAGCGCTTTGTTGTGGTGGATGTTTTATCTCGCGGGACCCGCAGTGCCCGTTGAGATCGGCCAGCGAGGTGCATGCCCTGGCTTTGATCTACTGGAAGTCTTTCCTGTGTTAAGATCTACCGGAAGCCCTGCGTGATTGTGGGGTGACTGATTTACGCTACGTAATCTTTGTGTGCGGAGAGGCCGGCAATCGTCTCGGGTGGAGAATGAAATGCTTTTTTTTCATGATCTTTCGGAGGGGGCTTTCGAGAGTACGTTGCGGAGAGGGATGGGGCTGCTGGAGTGCAGTGCCTTGGTTTTGATGCCGTTTCTTTTGGCAGGAAGAGTGAGGTCGCGACTGCTGTTGGTGGATTGGCAAGTTTGCTGTTGTTGGTGTGGTGTGGTGTCGTGTGTTGTTGTTGGCACTACCTACGCACACACATTCGATAGCAGCCATGGTTGAAGTCCAGTAACACAGGTTGGCTGACTCGTTCTCNCCCTCTCTCTCTCTTCCCCCTCCCCCGCCGTTGGCAACATCCTACAGGCGGCCGAACCAAGAACAGCGAAAAGCCTTCGCGAGCAGTACAACATCGGCGAGGCGGGAATAGTGGCAGCAAGCTCGGGGGGGGGACAGGGAGGGACATCAACCAAATCGTCTTCGGCAACCGCCTCAGGCGGTCGGTTAGGGGGCACGTCCCGCGCTTCGAAGGGGGGGGGGTTAGGAGGCGGGGGCTCCGTGGTATCAAAGGGGGCAAGGAAAGGGCCGTCTTCGGAGGCATTGAGAGGTGAAAAAACGTTTGCTTTGTTGTTGTTTGCTCAACCAATTCATCTCCTCCACAGACATGAGTCTGGGATACAGATTTGGCAATGAAGCCATAGCGCGTCAGCGGAAGCGAAAGCTACCTGTTTGTCTACGATTTCCCGAGCAGCATTCTGCGATATCTTTTTCCTGTCTTGTGTTTGTGAGCTGGGAGGACAAGCACGAGGGCTTGGACATCCCCGGGTTGAGACGTACAACCCTAGCTCTCGGCGGTTGCGCACGACGTGCCAACCCCACGGGTGGAGACTGCGTGCCCCCATCAATCCGGGGGCGTGGGGGGTTGTGTTTTCACGGCTCCCATGCGGAGGGCCCGCTCCGGCTAGCTAAGGACCGTTATCGATTTCCTGACTGTGTGCTCTAACAATTACGATCCGCCGACACCCTTCAGGCCAGCTGAGGGCCACCTGGCATTTCCTGATGATATCAGGTCTGCCACTCACGATCCATCAACACCTTTCAGGCTGGCTGAGGACAGCCTGGTATTTATTTGATCAGCGTCATGTCTCCATCAACATCCTTCAGGCTAGCTGAGCACCATCTGGCATTTCCTGAACGTCACGCGTTGCACTCACGACCCCTCAACACCCCCCCCCCCCCCCCCCCCCCCCCCCNACCCCCCCCCCCCCCCCCGCGTCCTTCAGCGGCGGCAAGCGGCCACAACGATCCGGCTCCGTCTCCCCCGCAGCACCGCGCCACTGACGCCTCCGCCGCCGCTCGAAGAGTGGCGAAAAAGGCAACGACGTCGGCATCTACAACAAGTGTGTCCGCTCATACCCCGCCTCCGGCGGCGGCGGCGGCGGCGGCGGCGGCAGCCGGGCGAAGAAGGAACGCTTTAGTACCCTCGTCGACTTCGAGCCCGGGTTCGGCGGCGGCGGCGGCGGCGGCGGGCGGGGGAGATATGGCGACGGGGGCATCTCCTTCGGGGCGTCCGAAGAACAGACGCCCCACTAATCCCAGCGCAACGGTGACAGAAGCAGCGTTGGCTTCCGTAGCGAAGTCACCGGCAAGCGGCGGGACTACCAGCGGAGGTGGCGGAGGCGGCGGAGGTCTCTCTAAGACCAAGCGAGCCGGTGGGGGGGGGCGGGCACCCCCTGCGGGGGTTCGCCCGCCCGCGCTCCACAGTAATAACACCAGCAATAGCACCACGCCGACGGGGAGTTCGTCGTCGAGAGCGGCGTTGTCGAGGCCGGGGACGGCGGTCTCTTCTCCCCTGCTTGTTTCCCCCGAGGGATTCCTGGCGGCGCCGAGCAGGGGGGGGGGGGGGGGGGGGGGGGGGGGGGGGGGGGGGGCGGCGGCGGGTCGCAGGAGGGGGGTAGCGTTGNGGGGGGGGGGGGGGGGGGGGGGGGGGGGGGGGGGGGGGGGGCGGCGGGTCGCAGGAGGGGGGTAGCGTTGCTGGCTCGGGCGAGGGAGTGACGGCGGTAACGTCCTTGGTGGAAGGGAGCAAGGTGGGGAGGGGGGGGGTCCTCGTGTAAGTTCCTGCTGTAGTCATTCGATCATTGACCGCAGGTGGTGGTGTGGATGAACTTGGCCAACCCTCTCTCTCTTGGTATGATTTGGAATTGAGGCCCGGAGTTCTCGAAACAGAAAATACATGTAAGTGCTTGTGGTTTTGGTGCCCGGTTCAGGACGTTCGTGATGTGGGTGTGTACTGGCATCAGATTGCCTTATTTTCCGGTACACTTTGGGATTCGACGCTCTCTTGACTCTGCTCCCTATTCTATTCTCATTGTTGGCGATTGTTCCCTCTTCTTCTTGTTGGTGATTGGTCAGTTTGAGTTGTCTGTTCTTTTTTTATTTCGTTGCCTCCTCTCTCTTTCTCCTGCTTCCCCTTTTTACCTGTTATTTACATGTACCCTCATCTTCCCCTCCCTCTTGCAATCCTACCTCACATGACATGCAAAAATCAAGTTCAGTTTCCGGTGGTACAACAGCGGTGCCTTCTCTCCGTCAAACGCGTCGTTAGGTGTTCCTCTCGTTTTCGTCTTTAGTTACAACCTGTCTTACGAAAATCGCGTGTCAAATGTTGTGCTCCTGTGCGCTTTGTTCTTTGGTACAGGTGTGCCTCCAGGGGCAAAAAAAGCGCGCGGCGGTGGTGCGGTACGTCGGCGAGACCCAGTTCGCGACGGGCGTGTGGGTAGGGGTGGAGCTCTCGCCGGGTGCTGATCCCCCAGGTGCGGCACGATAACTAGTAACTTACGGCTAGCGCCCGTGCTTAAGAAATGAAGTCCCAGATTTTGGCGATAAAAAAAAATAATCACTGAGCACCTCAGCCTCGGATCCTATACTAACCTCTACATGAGGACCTATGCTCGACTGTGACGAAATAAGAAAATGACCCTCGACCCCAACTTGACGTTTCTTAAGAGCTGGCGCCAACTGTACTGTCTCTAGTCTGTACCGGTGGTTCACTTATTCTTAAGCACTTCCGGTTGTTAGGTTTTCAGAGTTTGGGGCGGTACGTACACGCTGGGGAGTTCCAATGCGAATTCGTTACGTGTATCGTTTTGCCGTCGCTGTCGATTTGCCACGACGGTTATGACGTCTCCAAGTATTTTCTGCCTTGAGGCGATATTTTCGGTTTCAGCGTTTTCTATAACTATTGGAAGGGTGATCCAGACACAACCGTAAGTATGACGATCGTGAACTTGGACGCATGACGCGTGCAGCCTAGCGCTTATGGTGGTTTCATCGAAGATTGCGTTGCTCATGGTGGTTCTGGTGTTTTTTCGTGATACATGTGCACCACGGAGATGGGGTTTAACCACCACGGCGGATTGATTTCACAGCAGTTGAGACACGTATGTTGCACATGGTGGCGCTACTGTGTGCGGTAGACATGACACACACCAGGCGGATGGGGGGTTGCAACTCACCCCGCAGCAATGACCATGGCCCCCAACTCACTATCTCGCGTTTGCACCTCGTGCCGCTACTGCTTGCTGTTCGTGGTTTGTAAACACATCCCGCACACCGCACACCAGGCAACAATGACGGGTCCGTTCGAGGAGTTTCGTACTTCAAGTGCCCTCCCTTGTGCGGAGTATTCGCTAAGCCAGACATGTTCGAGTTGTTGGAGGAGGAGGAGGAGGAGGAGGAGGAGGAGGAGGAGGAGGAAGGGGAGAGAGATGCGGAGGGTGACGACGTAGAAACGTCGGCGAGAGAAGAAGATGGGTGAGTCCCTTTGGGTTTGGGCGTTAGCCGTGCAGGAGTACCATGAGTTGTTTCGCGACTTGAGCAGCGTCTCTTGGGGATTAAGTTTTAGTGGTGTGCCTGGTTTAGGGTTATGCCTTGTGTAACGGCCACGAAATCGCTTGGTACCTCTGCACCCCGACTATTTGTAGCCGCTATACCGATAGTATCAACCTGCCCTGAATAGCGACCACAGTTCCCTCCTGACACTAGGGGTCGTCGCTAAACCGGCTCCTTCCCTGTACTGCTTTGTTACTGGAGCAACTTCGCTCCAGTTCATCGTTTTTTCCTTCTTCGCCTTGACACAGCCTCCCCCTCGAGATGGCTCTCAATAATCATATCACCGACCCCAGGCAGGCGTGTCTGTCTCGAATTTTTTCTCACCGCCGACTTTTGTTCGCGCTCCAGCTACAGCAGTGCGGTAGGATAGCCCCAATGAGCAGGGATAGTAGGGCGACATACGAGACAACAGGGTAGGCATACCCTGGTCAACACGTGTCTCAGACGGGAACCTTTTTTGGGGGCAGCGTCGTCGAACGAACCCAGTCGATTGGTCAACGTCGGCTTATCCGCAACGAGAAATAACAATAGCATTACCCTGGCGTATGTATATTCGAACTGTTCCCCCCAAAACCACGGATGTCTAACTCCCCATGTTGAACTCTTTCTCTTCCTAGGAAGGTCGAGGTTTTTGTTTCAAGTCCAACTTGGGTGTGTTTGTTCCCGCTCCTCCATCGTTCTCCTCCCGTTCTCCTCCCCCTGGCGGCGGAAACGTTTCGCTTTTTTTTGTCTGTGTTGAATAATGTTCCATGTAAAAAATTGTCGATTTTCAGCCTAACGGCGGCGACGGACGGCTCCGATGAGGCTACCCGTGCGGGGGGCGAGCTTCTCCGCTTCCACAAGCTCTTTGCGAACGAGGTACGCATCGCCGTGCATACGCTATTGTTGGAGGCACTCGTGGCGGTGATGGTGAATACATCAAATGGAATAGCGTTGGACGTTGCAGTTGTTGCGCTCTGGGGGGAGGTTGGTCGGGTGACGGTGCAGCTTTTTTTGGCGGTGGAGGTTCGCGTCGAATTTATGTGCGCGTGTCTTTTTTACTAGCGTCGACCGCGGAAACAGGCTGACCAATGAAAAGACGTCAGTCTCAATGCGGTTGAAAACAAAAATTTTTCTAACGGCGTGCTTGTGTGTTTTTGTTGTGAGCATCGACCGCGCTAGCTGGCAAACCATTGGAGAACGTCAGTGTATGTGTATTATTTTCTCTCGTCGCGTGGATGGTGTCATCCCTACTGTGTCGGCGACTAAATAGCATGTGCTCCCCCGTGTTTTGTTAGGCGCTGGAAGCATTGAAGGAGGAGATGGCCATGATCCCAGACCTGGAGGGGATGGTAGAATCCATGCAGTCGGCCCCCGCGGATCGCATCCGCTTGTATCTCGAGGTTTTAGAGAGCGCGGCAGGTGCGAGAGAGGCTGCGGCGGCCAGGTTACGGGCACAGATTCGAGAGACGGCGGAGCGGTATCCCTCGGTGTTCTCTCCATCTCCGGATGATGCTGCCGCCGCTGCGTCTTCGAAGGGCGGAAGGGGAAGTAGCAGCGGCGGTACCGACGCCAGTTCGGGTCCTGGAAGCGGCGCAACCCAGTCCGATGATGGTCCCGGAGATGGGGACGGAGGTGAGGATGCAGGCGGTGGCGACAGGGCTGACGGTGGGGAGGATGACAACGCCAACGATAACAACGGAGCAGCAGCGAGCGGCAAGACGGAAGAGGACGAGAGCGTAGAGGATACCGAAACCGTCGCGGTGGAAGCAGACGACGGCGACGCTGCTGATACTTCGGCCGCCGCCGCCGTCGGAGAAGAAGACGAAGGGGGCCCCGCTGACGGCGGCAGCAGCAGGAGCGACGACAAGGGGGCACGCGGTCAAGATAAAGGAAACGGAGGGAACGTGTTTGGGATGGTGGGGAAGTTCCTGCTGGGGGTCGTCCACAAGCCTCCGGGAGAAGAAGAAGGCGACCAGGACCAGGCATGCCAACAAAAGAAAACCCACGGGGAAGGTGCGGCCGGTTCTGGTTCTGCTGCACCCGTCGCATCGACTCCCACGGTGGACGCGCCTTCCACCCCAAACGCGATAGGCAAGGGTGCTCCGGTGGAGGGGAATGGGGACCTCGTGGCTGAGGCAGGGGGGGTGTCTGTCGAAGGTGTTGTCGTGGAGACGACGTGACGTGATTTGTATTTATTTGCTCTGTTTTTTGTTTTGTTTTTCAGGTAGAGAGTGAGTGGCACGTCAGTAGAGATGGAAGTATTTAGGTGGCGATGTTTTTTGGGGGGGGGATATGATTCTCTGTATTTTCATGCTCGTGCTGAAGGCGCAACGAAGAGTGTGTGTCTGGATGTCTTGTCTTGATTTTCCTCTCCCCCTTCTCAGTTCAAGGTTGGAAATTTTCGGGGAATGTGATGGTGTGGGGTTTTTAGGTTGTCCCGTCGCAGCTGCTGTTATTTGTCATTGAAGGTCCACCGTTTATGTTGGTGTCTTACTGGTGTTCTCTGTAGGAGGTTGGTAGAGTGCTTTCAGCGGGTAGTCGTTGTCTTCGTCGTTGTGTTGTTGGAATATCCCGGCTGCTGCTGGCTGCTACTGCGGTTGCCATTTATTTCTACTTCCATTGGTGGAGGGAAAAGTGGTACCGTATGACTTACCAAATGGTATATTGCTGGTACGGCGGTATGAAGCTTGGTTGCTGTTCTGGTTTGCTCCTATTATTGTCCAGGCGCCGATCCCAGCGGGCTTTATCGTTTTGATGGGGAATACCGTCAAAAAGGACCTGGTACGACACGGTCCAGGAAGGAGATCGATGCGAGGCCCTTCCGCCGGACTTTCTTATTTTATGGATTTTTTCTTGTGGCCTAGACAACGAACTTTGGTGGACAAGTATTTTGTGTGTGTGCAAGCCGTAGATGATCGTTCCGATGGCTGGTATCGAACACCAGTAATATTCTTTGTTGTCGGTTGTCCGTGATTGACACCTTTGCCTCGCCCCTGAAAAGTTGTTGACACATGGTGAGCGATGGCATTTTGTCCACCATCTTCGCGCTTCGCCAGATGCCGCTCTCGGCTGTGGGCGTTCGGTGAGATAGATCTTGTTTCATGTTCGCTTTTCGCGAGGGGGGCGCGACACTGATTTGTTTCTCTGTGCAACGCGCGTGGTAAAACAGTGGTTGGCGAAAAGAAAAGGAAGCAGTTTCATTTCTGTGGACGAGATGGATTGGTTGTGTCAAGTGCAATAAAAAGAAAAAAAAAATGAAAAACATTTTCTGTCCCGTATTGCGGCTGATAGGGTACATGTAACAGCCCGGGGGATAGGTAGCCCCGGCCTCATCTGGAGCCCTTTCCTTTAATTGGCCAGGGAGGGTATGCCTATCTATCTATGTGGGGGTCGAGGATGATGGTGTTGTTCGCGGTGATGAAGAAGTTGGTGGAACGAAGGAGAGAAGCAACATTTTTCCTCGTTCTTGACTTGGCGTTGGGATGGGTACCGAGTCGGAAAAACGACAGGTGGCGGTCGGCCGTGAACATGGTAGCCATTGGCGTCAGATCAGGATCGGCAAGGCTACGCTTTGTCGGGTAGACGGGGAACCGTGAACCACAGATTTGTCTGCGGTCAAGTACGGGAGAGAATGACCGAGGGCAGCCCCGATGGGTTATGATAATAGTGCGAAGACGTAAGTCGTGGAAATTCTTTGTGATGGTCCAGGCACATGTCTGCAGCGCGACGAATACCGCAACCAAACGGCAAACCGCAAAAAAAACAACAGAATCCAGGAAAGGCCAGGCGCGAAGATCAGTCACACACGACATCCCCGGCACGATGGGATTCTTCGTTGGAGTGCTTGGCGCTCTTGTTCGCCCTCTGCTGACATAATGATAAGAGTTGAGGGCGTTGGCGCGCGCAGTGACGGTTTCGTTCGTTCGCAGTGCGGAACGACTGCCCGCGCAACTGCTAGCCCGGCCTGATGCGTACCGCCTCCAAGGAGTAACACGGATTCGTCAGGATAGGATTGCCGCCAGAGTCCGTGGGTCGTTGCTGGCGTGGACGCATCACTTTTTCGTGCCGGCAGTGCTTGGTGAGGGGGAGGTTTCCTCTTCATGGCCGGAGTCGACGCGAACAGGAGAAGGATGGCCGCGAAGGCGATAAGCCGGGCGTACATGATTGGGTGTGTGTGTGCGACAAGCAGACGGGAAGTGCATGCGTATGACCTGTACACCCACCATGGTTGGCAGTCTAATTGCGTATCTAGAGGAGTTCAAAGTTGCGTTCAAAGTTGGCAGTTGGCAGTTGGCAGTTGGCAGTCGGATTTCGCGAATATCTATTGTACATACGTATCTAGAGAAAAGTGCCATCGTTGGCACTTGGGTGCAATGTATGCTGTACAAATACATGTACGCATGCGTAGCACCACAGCAGTAGTGCCGTAGATCCTGTCCACAAAAGTGCAGGTAAGACACCCCCTGACAAGAGATTTGATGCAACTACATACATAGTTGTGTGCCGACTGCTGCTGCCGTGTGTGGTCCTCAGTCAGTTCAGTCAGTTAGGTTTATTATCCTGTGGTCCTCAGTCAGGTCTGCGAGACCAACAACATTATTGGCAACCCCACAACAGCAGTAGTAGTCCTGCAAGGTGGATGGTGCACGTCGTGATGAGGTTAATCTCTTGGAAGATGTGCGGCGTGCATGCTAGGGGCAAGGGGAAAACATGGGATTTTTTTTTTTTTCTCCCATCATTGGACTCTGTCGTCTGCCCCTCTGGCCCCTATCCTCCACTTCTACTAGCTAGACGACCCAACCGGGGTCACATAGGAGGGGGGGGCTGGACCCCCTCCTGCGGTTCCTGCCTGAGGCATTTTTCCTGAGGTATTTTATCGCGAGAAGGGTACAGCAATCCCTTCCCTCGCGACTTACAAAGTCGATTATGGTTTACTAACAACGAGCTTTGCAGCGCGTCGCTTCCATCCTAGACCAGGATTTATGTAGTCTAGTGAGAGAAAAACTCACTCTGCCGGGACTCGAACCCATGACCTGGCCCTTAGCAGGCTGCGAGGCCACCCACTAGACCACCGGGGGCGACTGGGGATGTGCCTATGGGATTCTGAGCACAACAATCAGTCTGAAAGAGACAAAGAATGAGTATGCTGACTGCTGATGCTGACTGTCGTCCACAATGAGGGTGGGTCCTACGTAATTTTTGGAAAAGTCGAACATCGAACATCGAACAAGCGGATAGTTCGATGTTCGACTTTTTGGGTCCATTGAAATTTGCAAAAAAGCGTGAAAAAAAATCCCACACACACACGTTTTTGCGTTCAACAGCCCGCGTTGTTGGACCACGCCCGGAAAACCCAAGGGCACTCGACTCTCGAAAAGATACGAGTGTCGAGGAACAGGGACGGCGCCAGGAGGAGGAGCACAAGAACCAGCCCCACCAGCAAAAACAGCACCGGTTGATAGTAGCTAGCGCTCGAAGCCGCGGGGTGGAACCCCGGCATCCCTTGCGGCCTGATGCCCACATGCATTGCCGCGGGACCCTGCCGACTCACACCAATACTGCTGCATGCAGCTGTTTGGCTGTCCAGCAATAATGCT